GGGCACACTGGAGCAAAGGCCCCTTCTTCCCGCGGCAATCCCTAAGCCTCAAGATCTGACTTGCTGTTAGAGGCAAAATAAAGCGACACGGAAGCGCCTGCTGAGCCATCCCGGTGCGGGGTCCTGCGGGTCTCCCGCTCCCCCCGCCCAGGCTTGCTCTGCCCGAGTGGTGCGGCCCAGCCTCATGCTTTATTGACTTCCTATTTTGTGTCTTAAACAGCCACATTTTCTTTAGTTCAAATGATTTTATTTAAAATGTAAATGTTTTCAGCCCTGTAAGTGGAAAACCAGTGTTGCCTGCTGCCGTTGCTTGTTGTCTGAAGAGAATAGAAAACAAAAACAAAACAGGGTCACTCCTTCCCGTGAACCTGCGGCCTGCTGCGAAGGGTTAGCAGAGGGCAGCACCGCAGGAGGGAGGTGTAAAGGACACGGCACAGACCGAGTCCTTCTTGGGCATCGCCAGAAGTCGGAGCCAACTGGACAGCAACGACCTCCTCAGTATGTGGCCACAGGTCTCACCCAGCACCCCCCAAACCACCTCGCCATGTGCGCCCCAGTCTGGGGACAGGGTGCCCAAGGCCAGAGTCCATGCCCCCCCCCCAGAGAAACCCACACAGAGGCCTCCCCCTGCAGCTGGGCACCAGCTTGCTGGTCACTAGCCACCAGCCCTGGCGACTCTCCTGCTGTAGCCTGGACTGAGCTGGCTGCTTTAGCTCGCGGATTCAGGGTTTTATTTCAGTATTTAACATTTCTGAAGCTGGGAAGCGACAAGCCAATCGACGGTTGCATAGATAATGACTCAGCCTTAAAATTAACGTTAAAACCACCCTTAAAATTAACACATCTCGATCCAATCTGGGCAAGTATGGGCAACTTCCTTCAGCGGAGGGCCAGGCCCCGGAGGGCCCCCACGGCCCCCCACGGTACCTCGGACATTCGATACCAAGTGGCTGGAGAATCCTAGGAGGTTCTCGGGTGTGGGAGGGGGAGAAGACTGGGCGCTG